AGAGGTAGAGGTAGAGGTAGAGATAGAGGTAGAGATAGAGGTAGAGATAGAGATAGAGATAGAGGTAGAGATAGAGGTAGAGGTAGAGATAGGGGTAGGTAGAGGTAGAGATATAGATAGAGGTAGAGGTAGAGGTAGAGGTAGAGATAGAGGTAGAGGTAGAGGTAGAGGTAGAGATAGAGATAGAGGTAGAGATAGAGGTAGAGGTAGAGATATCAGAATCAGAATAAGGTTTATTGCCAAGTAGGTTTTTAGACTTACAAGGAATTTGCCTTTTTGGTGTTTAGTGCACAACACAACACTTCTATGAGAAGCAAGAAATAAAATGTAGAAATAAAAATATAGGACAGAAATGATAAAACTGAAAAATACAATCTTTAAAGATATAGATCCAAATGTACAAATCAACAATTGAAATGTGCAAGCTGAGTTCAATGGCGGCTCGGAAATGACTGTTTCAGCTCCGGAGAAGCTGTTTAGGAGCTCAAATAACTGTTTTTATTATTTATTATTCATTTAAAAAACAAATATTAGAGTCTGTTTCTCCCCTAAAGGCGACTGGAGCCTCTGTGATGAACGTCTCCCGGTTTTAATAACACACTGTGACACCGGTCTAACGTCCTGTTTAAACTAAAATAAATTATTTAAAAATGGCAAATGGAGCTAGTGTAAATTTTGTGGGGTTACCTACATTTTTTTTGTTTTTGAATGTGATAAATTGGGTTCATTCGGTCAGTTTTATATGACTTAAAAAACGTGTCTGGGCTCTTATGGGGTTAATGATCTGATCTAAACCCAGAAAAGGCTGGAACTCACTTATCTACCGCAACCCTGACCCATAAAGGCACCATGAACATGGACTAAAAACACTTTGAATTAATTATAAGCAGCATTTGTTTCAAGTTGGGTTTTATCTGAAAATGGTAAAAGTTTACTTAGAGCTCCATCTGTTGGACGTTTACATTTAAAAGATTAAACTTGAATCCTTTTTTTTTGTTTTTGGCTCCTTCTTTCAGAAAAGACAAGGCAGAAAATCTCTCCTGGTCTAAAAAGACAAGAGAAGACATTTGGAGACTGTTGGAAAGTTCTAAAAACTTGAACTAACTTTTATGAACCCTTGTGGTTTACTTCATTTTTATTTACTCTATCTTTCATCTCCATGAAAACATAAAAAAATCTATTATAAAGTGACTAAAGATAATTGGCTTTAAAACTGAGGCATGTTTACAGTTAAATAAATCTGATGGTGATAGTTTCCTGAAAGAAAAAGTACTATTTTATGATTGTTTCAGCATAGTAATGAAAAATCACACAATGATGCTCTTTCAATAAGAAAAGGCTAATCTGGGATGATTTGATCCCCCTAAAATGTGACAACGAACGAATTTAAATCCAACAGGAAAGAGAGAAAAGTGCCAAACCTGATGATGTTTGGGGGAAAAAGTCTGCATCAGTTCCTAAACCGGCCTGTAGGGGGCGGTGTCGCCCTGCAGCTGTGTGGGAAATAAGAAAAAAAAAAACTAGTTTTACATCACCTTAATGTTTCTCTTTTCTTTCTTCTGTTCGTGGCAAAATATTCTATGAATGAACTGAAAAGTTAGTCAAGATAATCTCCAAATAATTCGTTCAAAGTATCGATTTTCTCTCCTTGTTCTGCACTTTGAGATGATTTGCTCATTTTAATGACTTAACATCTCTCTAAAACTAAGTTTCTGGCCAAGTTTTAAAGGATTTTCATTCAGCTTTTTTCAAGTCACATCAATGGTCTAATTTAGAACTTTTTTATTATCTAATTTTAGGCATTTATTTTGTTTTTATAATTCCTAATGTGGTTTTAGTCGGCTTCTCTTTTTTATTTACTATACTTTATTTCTTTAATTCTCATGTCTCTTTATGTTTCATAAGTTTGTGTGTATTTGTAATCAATTTATGGTCTTTTTTGCCATGTGTGTTTGCTCTACAGTTTAATTTTTTGGGCCATTTCAAATATTTTTTAAACTGTTTTTTATAAGTTTTTATAAATGTTCTAAAGGTTTATATTTACTCAACACTGAGTTTGGTGAACTTTGTTGTCATTTTACATCTTGTTATAGTTATATTTTTCCATTTGAGAATATTTAGCTTGATTTGGGTAATTTTATGACCCTTTTCAAGTGTAGTTTTGGTTGCATTTTGTCCTAGTTTGGTTCATATTAAACAGTTAATCTGATGAGGATTGTTTTGGGCCTCTTTGTGGTGATTTTACTTATTTTTACCGTCCTTAAAATCAGTGAATGGGATTGAACAGCGTTCTGCATATCTGAAAAGAGTTCGCATTTATTTGAATCAGGTTTTCTGGGGGAGGGAAACATGTAAAACATGCAGGGCAACAGGCCTTCAGCAAAAGGGTTTGAAATGGATATATGAAAACATATCCATTACCATTTTTTCCCCTTAATATACATTTTTGCATTCATTTTATGGATCCTTTATGGTTCATTGTCATTTAGCATCTATTTTGGAACTTTTATGAACTCTTAAATACCTTTTTTCTGTGTGTCTTTGATAGTTCTACATCTCTTTCTTGACATTTTACACCGAAGATCGGATTTATATTGTTAACTTTATATCAAACTTTGAATTTGTGCACAGATTTTGTGTCTCTTTTTGGCATTTTGCATCTTATATTGTTGAACTG